CCCCAAAACCCCAAAACCCCAAAACCCCAAAACCCCAAAACCCCAAAACCCCAAGCTTGGCCATCAGCGTTGACAATAGGATTATTATTTAGTATTCAGAATTTTGATAATTATTAAAATTATCTATTATGGAAAAATCTATGATGGAAGGCACTCCAAAACAAAAAGGTGATAACGATCTTTCTTGGTACCAAACACTCGATCCGAAATGTATTCAAGGTAAGCCTATCGGTAAGTCCCTTTCGGACACTAGCATTCCTCTTTTTAGGTTAATAAATCTTCTGAATTTCAGGTGTTTTTGGCAGAATTTATTTTAGATTTTGTGAACAAAGAGATTTTTAAGTGGATTTTGGGGATTAGAAGGAGAATGAAGGGGGTTAGAATGGCAGATTTGGCTTGAGGTAGTGAGTTTAGAGGGAAAGGAGATTTTGAGGGTTTGGAGGGGTCTAAGGAGGATTTGAAGGATTTTAATGCTGTTTTTTGTGGGGTTTAGTAGGGGTTGGGTTTTTGGAGAGGTTCAGGAAGTAGTGGGAGTGTTGAGAATGGAGTTTTTTGAGGTTTATAGATGGGTTTTGACCTTCTAATATTGCTTATAGGTTTCAAGGAGAGTTTAAAGCTCTAAAATATGCTAGAAAAAACTATTTTCAAAGATTCATTTGATTTCTTTTGTTAAGCACACTGGATAATATATTGCTCCAAATCTAGATACAGATATAGACACTTCAGCCCGGTTTATTAGAATACTAAACTTTTTGTGGAATTTCTAGAACCTTATATTTGGTTGGTGAAAATGGCCCAATTGGATTATTTTATCACAAAATGACTTCTTTCAGACAAAATTTAACTTAAGCACAAAAGAATTTGACTCAAATTTTGAAAAACTTATGAAAATGGCGGGAGGTATAATTTGCTCCTTTCCCCCAGCAAGATTGCTCAGGAATAGATTGGCCAAATTCCTCACACCATTATATTTCTCTCTAATACTTTAGATATTAGAGAGCTTTAGCCTTGTTATTATAGATTATCTAAGAAATAAAAGGAAAACTTCTTAAGATCATCATACTGTAAAATCTAGAGAATTAGACTATCAAACACTGATCTGTACTCCAAAATTTAGTCACGAAAACTGAAATCCTCTTGCATAATTCTCTTGCGTGAGGATTTCTCCTCGCTTAAACTTCTCATAATTCTGAGCTAGATATTTTGGAGTAGCAAGAGTCACGAAATCCTCGCATTTTCTTTGCCCCAAAAATCGATTAAATTTAACTTGTGGATACCTACACAAGAAGTAGAATCCCATGACAACAATTTTGTACTAAAAACTTCATGAAGAACTCCTTAATAATAGTTTATATAGTTGTTCAAGAGAAAGTCCTCAAGGAGTTTAGAGAATCTGGCTGTGATTCTAACTTAACCAAGTACGAAAAGGATAAGCTAAAGCAACTCCTGAAGCTCGGAGAGAAAGGTAATGGTCCTTCTATGAACTCTTAATGCAGACTCTCGTGCTTAGTTCTAGAATTGGGTTAACATTTTTAGTCAGCATTTATACCAGCAACATTTAGGTCTTTACTGACTTTACCTCTGGTGCAGACTGTTTATAAAGAATCTTATTGTCTTATTAACAAATATTCTCAAATGTTTCATGACTCCTATAGGTCCAAAAAGAAAGACGAGAAAGGACATGCCAACAAGGAATAGTATGAAACACTCCTACAGTAGAGCTCCAAAGTCAGCCTCACCACTTCTATTAAACAGAGGGCACCAAGAACACAGTGAGTCTGGAGATGAGCTCTATCAAGAAGCAGAAGAGTATGAAGATGATGATATTGACGACCATGATTCATATGAAAACCCAGATAATATAATCGAAAATGAGCTTGAAAATGAGAGTTATGCCGATTCTACTCCTACAGCTCCTACATACGATGAACAAGATCTCAATAACAACGGTGAGTCTCTTGAGGATCTTGGAAAATTCAATCTGAGAGAACTTATTTACAAGATGTTCTTGAATATCTATAACTCAGAGAAAGAAAATACTGAAAGATTAAGGAGAGAAATCTTCCCAAAAATCACTGAAGAGACTAAGCTCGATGACTACATCACTTATGCTATTAACAACTGTATGGACCATGTGAAGGATGAACTGCAGATTTTCATCAAGAAGAACCTAAAGCTGCAGAGGAAAAAGCTAGAAGGCCCACAGAAATCAATGATAAAAGACTCATCATTCATTCCTGTAGATGAGAATATCCAGAAATATAATGAACTAATCGACAAAATAATCGACTTTTATGAGCTATTCAAGTGCAGTATCGAGCATATAGAAGCAGCTTGGAAGGAAAAACTTGGCCATATTGACAGACTCTACGATATCTTCGACTATAGACACAAGAAGCTATTCAGTGTTAACATCTGGCAAGATAGAGAAATTAGAGAAGTAATAAAGCTATTCTTCTCTCAAAACTATGACTATGAGAGTTACAAGAAAAGAACAGAAGATATTAACACTATTGAGCAGGAGCTTAACGAAAATCTCCAGAGTATCGTAAGGATCAATCTAACTTCGGTTTCTGATTTTTTCTTCAGAGAGCCTGCTTACAAGTCCAAGATATTATCTAAACCTAATATAGGAACAATCTGAGGTAAAATAAGACCAAAAAGAACAAGAAAAATAAGAATAAGAATAAAAAGAAGAAGAGTAAGGACCCCCAGCCCAAGGAAAAAGAGTCAGAAAAATTGTATAAGATAGAAGATATTGACTTACTTTGCTCCATGATCGAGAACTATAATACTGAGAATAAAGATAGGAACAAAATTAAGAAAAAGAGTCCAGCTCCTAACAAGAATACGAAGGAAAAGAAGACTGCCAAGACACAAGATATTCAGAAGGAGAGCGCCAAGGCTAAAGACCCTACTCCGTCACCTCCTCCTAAGAAGAAGGAAGAAGAATTAGATCCAGAGGAAGAAGCTGCAACTTGTAATTCTAGCTGTGCCCCAGATGAGTGGAAGGAGTTGGAAGAGTTTAAGAAGTCATGCTTTGCCTCTATGAAGAGTAAGAGAAAATTGCTCATCAAGCCTAACATCCCCAAGGAGTGGATCGACCACTTGAAGGGTATTTTGGCAAATCTTCAGTCGAAATAAGCCCCTTGGCTTTGACAGAGGTTAATTCATGCCAGTTATTACTTTACCAACAATTACCCACATTTGGAGTCTATTTTATTACTTCAATCATGCTGGGCTTGTCCGGGGTTTTGGGGTTTTGGGGTTTTGGGGTTTTGGGGTTTTGGGG